AAAGGTACCAATAACATTTCCATTTAGTTAACATAGAGTGTTCAAATTTAAACACAGAACCGTCTTTAATACTTAGTTGAACTTCCCATTGTAAATGAAAATATAATGAATTTAATCAGAGAAAGCCTAGCTCACTTGATGAAAACATGAATTTGTGCATTAGTGTGGCCTCCAAGCACATCTATCTGTTGTCAGCAAACAAGTCGAGGGTCTAATGAAGTTGGAGCACTGTTAGCTGATTCTGACAGAGGCACCAGGAACAGTTGTGTGAGGTCAGTTTCTTTCCTGATCCCTTCCAAACTCTGATGTTTCATGATTCTCTCTGAATCTATCAGTTAAAGATTTGTCTCAAAACTTTGAAAGCTTTTCTTAATATTTAATCTCAGTCTATTAAAGTAACAAAGTCAACTACTTATGTCAAATANTAGTTCTGGATTAAATACTCTGATGTAGTTTTGGTTTATAACTAACAGAGATTTCACTGTCAATTAGATTCAGATGATTATACTACTAAAGTTTAAGAAAGAGATTCTGAAACATCATGATTTGTGCAGTTCCTGTTGCTTTAGTAATAAAGAATACGTTATTTTTCCTAGATATGCAAAATGCTGCCTGTGATTTCTGTTTTATTTTTTCATTTCTTTGCTTAGGGGTCACAGTTATTGATAAACCATTATGAGACTGAAGGACTTTTTGGCATATTTACACGTGAGAAACAGGCTTCAACAAGTATTTCTGAAGTGACTGAGAATCTAGCACTTCTCCACTTGTAGCTGCACTTTAGGTCTCAGCAGAAGATAAGATCGTCTGCCTTTATAGGCCTCGGATATGAAGATTATTTTTGGTAGAAGCACCGTGTAGGCTTTTTCTGCAATGAGCAGCAGCTGACTGAATTTTAATAAGAACCCTGGACTGCAGTACTTATTCTGTAGTCTTTAGACAACAGTTGCTTTCATAAAGGCTCGTTCTTCTCATCCTTGAGTGACTATGGATTATTTTGTGAAAGAGGATAAAGTAATGTGTGTTCTTGTAAAATTAAATTTGATCTTTTCTTCCTCTACTGTAAATCTGTATACCCAGGAACTGAAAATCTTTGAACAGGTATTAAAATCTACGTAAGTATACAAAGTAGTCGAGGGATAAAACTGTTTGCTTTTATAAAATATCTTTGATTACATGAATATTATAAATTGTGTGCATATGTTGTGTCTATATGCTTTTCTTTAAATATGTTTGAAAAGATGTTTGAAACTTGATTATACTATTTATAATTGGCAGAGTACTTTGAATTATGCCAGTACTACATTGTAAAACAGAGTTGTATTTTTTGATATTTAACAATGCTTAACACTTTAAAATGCCACTTCTGAGGAATGAACATGGTGTAACACACTTGAATATGTGTGATGCCAAACTTTTTTAAGTAAAATATAAATTATGTTTATTTATTGTTTTCTTTAGTTTAATCTTGGTTTTGTTTTGGTGTGTATTTTTAATTTTTAAAGTAACACTTTGGCATGAACATTACTGCAGGTTTTTGATGAATACAATGAATGTATGGAATTCAACTGAATTTGCATGGTCTTAAGAATTTTTTTCTGTGTGTATAAATTTAGCTGCTATTAACAGAAGAGAGAACTCTCTGTGAGTAGCCATGTGTGTTGATCAGATACAACTTTTCTGAGATCTTCAATTAATCTCACTTTAAAAATGACCAAAACATGTCTTTCTTGAATTATCTTTGAATAAAAGTTTGTATATTAGTTTCACAGTGTCCTTCATTTTTATCTATTTAATTTGATGTTAAGACACTTGCCTTAGTTTTTCTGTTCTTTTGTAAAATTTGCCTTTCCTGACTTCATAAATCTATATTTTCAATTTGTTGCCAAACTAACCTGTAAGATAAGTGTGTTTGAATCAATAACTGAAGTCACTGAAAATTGTTCTTCAAGAAAAAGTAATCTCAAAAAAAAAAAGAAAGAGAAAAAGAAGAATAAGAAAATTAAAAAGGAAAAAAAAAAAAAAAAGAAAAGAAAAAGTAATCTCAACCATCAAGGAAAAATCTCTCAAAGATTGGTGAAATTTAAACTTTATATTTCTGTTTCTGATATGGGCAGGATGCGGGATAAAGATAAAACAAATAATTGTACCACAACGAAAGTCAAAGGAAAAATACCTACTCTAAATCAACTGAGAAATAAATTGTGATTTTGATACCAAATAAAAGGGATTGAAGAAATGGGAGTGGGGTCGGATGACTGCGGTGCTGGACACAGTAGAGAAAGGGAAAGGGACGGAAGAAAATGATCGGATATTGTGGCCATTCTGCAGGAAAAGAATTTTAAAAATTAATGTGAGTTGTTGTCAGAACAGTTCATAATCAAGAGGAAAGGTACCAATAACATTTCCATTTAGTTAACATAGAGTGTTCAAATTTAAACACAGAACC